TTCTCTAGCCATTCGTTTGTTGATGGGCACTTAGGTTGTTTCCAACTCCTTGCTATTGTGAACAAAGCTGCAATGAACATGGGTGTGCATAATTTTTTTTTTTCAAAGAGAAAAGGGCAGAGAAGAAAATGTGCAACAATGAATGAGTGGAAATCCAAGTTCTCTATAAATTTTCATTAAAATATAAATTAAAAGAAAGAAATAAAAGAAATTGTTCTACAATCCCAAAGGCAAGCTGTTCTAATCCACCAGCTGCTCCATGGGAGAAGGGTAAACAATCTCCTCCCATGAGATTTATTGTCTCCGAAAACTTGCTGGAGGGTCAGCTATGGGCCAGTTCCAACTTGATGATGCACCACAACAATATTCTTCTAATATTTTACAAACATTTTGTTTTCTGAGAAATAGAAATGTCACTTTAAGGTCCCTGTTGTGTCCCCTTTGCTCGCTTTCTCAGGCCTATCACCACTTCACATTTGAGACCAACATGTCCTTCTGCATCCCTCCACAAGATGCTCACATTGATTGTAGGGCCATACATCCAACCAAAACTCAAATCAAACCTGCTGCCATTGAGTTAATTCCAGTTCACAGTGACCCTTAAGGACAGAATAGAACTGCCCCTTAAGGTTTCCAGAAGCAGCCTGCTACGTCTTTCTTCCATAGAGCAGCTGGTGGGTTTGAGCTACTAACCTTTTGATTAGCAGTCCTATACGTTACTCACTGCTCCACCAGAGCTCCTGAAGTATCTACCGTCAGTATATAAAACTTTCAACCATTCTTCCCAGAAAATAAATCAGCCTCTTCCTGAAGATGGCAGGAGATTTTGTGAGCTCTCTCCTATGAATGAATTGAATTATTTTAGCTTGTTTTTTTAAAAGGAAATGTATTTAGTATTTGGAGAACAGGGAAGACCACTAGCCTGCACTGAGGCTGATGCAAGGCCAGATATTTACCCCTACTTCACCCCTTCCGGAGGTCTAGTGGTAAGAAGCTGCACTTCAATCCTAAAGGCACACATGGGATTGAAACCCCACCAGCTGCTCTGCAGTAAAACAGTGGCCAATCACCTCCTGTGCAATAAACTGCCTCCGAAAACCCAGTGAAGGGTCAGCTGTGGCTGTGGGTAAGTTCCAACCTGGCATACAACAACAATCGCAACAACAACAATCTCACCCCTTGTCCAAATTGGCTATGCCAGAGACAGTTCAGAGATGTGAGAGTCCTGGCAGGGCCATCCAAAGGGAGAGGTAAGTAAGTGGATCAAGCTGATTCTGACTCATGATAGCCCCAGGTGTATCACAGTGGAACTGTTCTCAGAAGGATTTTCATTGACTGATATTTTTGAAAACAGATTGCTTGACTTTTTTCCTGGAAAAGAACTCAGTGAGTTTGAACTGTTTTGTCTCACTCAGGGACTAAGTGTAGACTGAGTCCTGGATATTGAAAAAAGCCAACCACCAGGGAACCAAGTAAAAGTAGCCAGTCCATGAGAGCCAGAAAGGGGCAGGGATTGGGAGTGGGATGGGAAGATAGGGGCTGAGAGTATCTGAGCAGATGCTGGGAGCACGGAGAGCGGGTGTCTGTGGTTCTCTATGTGCACTTTTGGGACAGACACAGAAGTTCCAATACCAATCTTAGGACTAGGTTACATGAAGAGAGACAAGCATTGAACAACATTCAGGACAAGTATTGAACAAAACCCAGGAAAACTGGCCCTCCACTTCCTGTTGACATTGGGTTTGTCGTAGTTGGATTGTTTTGAAAACATATTCTGAGAAAAAGATTAAAAAATAAATGGCTTATTTGTGAGACTTGTAAGGAGAGACAGGTCTTTGGAGAGGAACATCATGCTGGGCAGAGTGGAGAGACAGCGCAGGAGGGGAAGACCCTCTATGAGGTGGATTGATTCAGTGACTGGGGTAATCGGGATGGGTGTGTCAGAGGCAGTGAGGTTGGCACAGGATAGAACAGGGTTTAGGGCTGTTGTACATAGGGTCGCTATGAGTCGCAAGCGACTCGACGGCACATAACAACAACAACAACAACATTTATGAGACAATTCCAGGAATTACTGGTAGGAGTTTGAGGAAGTGAAACAGAGAAGGGAAAGAAGTCAATATAAAGGGCATTATTAAGCCTCCTTAGGAGCCTCTGTGGTGCAGTGGTTGAAGTCCTCAGCTACTAACCAGGAGATCTGCGGTTCTAATTCACCAGCCACCTGATGGGAGAAAGGAGTGGCAATTTGCTGCTTCTTTAAGGATTTACAGTCTTAGATGCCCTCTGGGACAGTTCCACTGTGCTCCATAGGATTGCTAAGAATTAGAATGGACTTGAAAGCAACTGGTTTGGTTTCTTAAATTTTTTATGGCCCAAATTGTATGTATTTTTTTTTTCTGAAATTAACATTCCACTGGCCCCACATTTTCATTTAAGGTCATTGTTGTTGTTGGTCAAGGTCATTAGATGGTGTAAATTCTTACTGCTTGGAGATTTGAACCTACTCAACCTCACAGAAGAATAAAGATACCTCATTCTACTTTTCTAAAAATTACAACTAAGAAAATTCTGCAGAGAAGTAGCACAAGAAGTTACTGTAAGACAGAGTTCTCTAAATCTAGCAAAACTAACCGGGAGACAGAATCAAACAAAGAACAACACTGCAGATTTACCTTGCTGAGAGACAAAGGGCCAGGCTATTTATATACTATCTCCTGTCAGTCATTAGTTGAGGCTTTTCCTAGACATTGTAAAACCCCAAGCACTTTTGTTGTCCCCATGTATGATAGAGGCAGCTCTGGACACAGAGAAAGACACAGGAGGACGGGTGCTACTACTGGAAACATTGCATCCTGAGTGAGCTCTGACTTTCCTGAGAATTACGCTAAACTCTTTAGAAGCTCATTATCTAATCTCCATAGAAGATCTTTGGTCTTTGCCAGGGAAACTTTATAGCCTGCTCAGGCCCCTCATTCATCTCACGTGAGGGCTGCAAATTTTGTTCTGCATAGATCAGACTCAAGCAAAGGGAGGGTGTTTGGCTATTGGAGAAGCCCTAGGTATTGTGCCAACTAAAAGTGGGTCAAAGCTTTTTTCCTGACTTGTTCTTTTTTCAATAGTTGGGCCAGTGGACATCAAAATGGCGAGTTCAAGGAGAAATGTTGGAGCATCAACAGCGTTTGCTACTGAGGTCCTTGGTATTCCACTGTGACCCCCATGGAGGTGGAATTGCATGTCCTGCTCATGAGGGCTTATTGGTCAACAGTATCCGTCCCCCACATTCGGCCCAGCTGGACGTAGGGGTCTAACTGATTGCAGAGGAACCAAATTAATTAGCATCTATGCTACAAATGTCTCAAGAGCTGGAACATGGAGTTACAGTGATCTCCAGTCTGAGGAGATAAAGGGGGCTCCTGCTCTGGAGGTCATGGGGAATGCTCTGTGTGGTGCAGCCAGTCTCTGAGGACAGTCAGTGCTTAGCAAAGGCAGTGAACTGGCATCATAGGGAAGCATGGAAGAGTCTCCCTGCACAACCTGACTACACGGTCCCCCCCACAGTCATTCCTTCCCACCTACTCATACTAAGCAAGGAGATCTGGACCATTCGGGGAACACTAACTGCCTCTGTTTTCAGGAACTAGTCTACCTCTGACCAATAATTTGGTTTTCAAAGAGGAAAACAGGGACATCTCTCCTTAAAAGGCTTATTTTTTTCACACTTACAAGCTGCCTTCTTTCCTTTGGGAATCAGAATTGAGCAGTCAAAAGCACTGATTTGGAAATCCATTAGGTCTATTCAGAGTTGTAAGACTTGGGTAAGTGATATGACCTCTCTGAGCCCTAGTTTCCTCATCAGTATTATGGAACAACAACATCTCTTTCAAGAACGTGAGGACTGAAAGTGTGAAATGCCCACCAAAACCTGGCACTTAGGAAGCACTCAATAAATAAATGGTCTCTCTCATTGCTATCAAGTTGCAATTGACTTGTAGCTGCTCTTTCAAGGGTTTTCAGAGGCTCTAAATTGCTTAGGAAGAGATTGCTCATTTTTCTTTTTCCTGTGGAGCCACTGGTAGATTTGAACTACCTGAGGGGTGTAACCTCTGGGTTAGCAGCACACTTCGCTTTGGACTACACCGTGAGGATAGTGGTTCATATTCACTGAGGAAAAAAGTTCCAATATTGCTGCTATACTAATGTGACTAGTATTGGTGTAGATGTTGTTAGGTGGTGCTCAGTCAAGATTTACCCCGGGGTCAGCCTAGCCCAGCTGATGTTGTATTTTCTCTCTGCTCTCAGGTTCCATCCAGGAGAGGCAAGTGTTTCTGAAGGCTCTTCAAAAGCTGAAGGCTGGAAGGTCCGAAGGCTCCCACCGAGCAGTGTCTGAGCCTCCTAGGCCGGACATACTGAGCAGTGGCAGCTCTCGAAGACTGGACACACCTTCTCTTCAGCCCGCTGACGTTGTCCAAGTCTCCCTGAAATTCAAGCTGCTCGGCCCACCCAATATGGGCCAGGACATAAACTTTGTCTTGCTGGCCCTCAACATGTCATCTCAGTTCAAGCATCTTAAGCTCAATCTGAGCGCCCAGTCCCTGCAGCATGATGGCAGTCCTTTGCCCCCATTCTGGCAGGAAACAGCGTTCATCACTCTCTGTGCTAAAGAAGGTATAGGCTCTGGCTATGGGCGTGGGTTACATAAATGCCAACAAGGTGCTAGGAGAAGATCTCTGTGACCCTTCTGGTCTCTGGCACAGACACTCCTTCCTTCTCCTTTTCTCTTCCTCCTTTCCTTCTCCTTTTTATTATCCTAAGGAAAATAGCCTCATTTAAGAGAAGAAAAAAAATCTGAGTTGGCAGACCTTAGATAGAGTCTTAGTTTACTAGCAAAAGGACGCTGGAGAAATTATTTTGTTTTTCTTAACCCCAATCTTTCCAGCTTGAAAAGCTGGTAACTATTTCACAGGGGATCAGTCCATTGTGACTCCTTCCTCTCCAAAAGAGTTCTCCTAATCCAGTCCAGTCCCAGTTGATTCCCCAGCCTCCCTCACCTCATCTCTGTGTTCTCTCCTAGCAAAAACCCATCCCTGCAAAATCCTCTATTCCCAGTACAGCCAGTACCTGTCAATGGACAAGTTGATCCGCATCAGTGCCCTGGGTGAAGAGATGAGCAGTTCCGAGAAGATCCTAGTGAACAAGATCATCACTTTGTCCTATCCTGGCATCATGATTAATGTAGGCAAAAACCCTGCAAATGACTTGGGGGTGAGGGTAGCTCCTGGGATCCAGTCAGGAGAGGGTGGAGTCTTGAAAGGGCAGCATGGGCCTGCTCAGCAGAGAAAGCTTTCTTTTCTCTGCCTCTTTTGGTGTTCCCAGCTGCTGCAAAGAGAGGCAGGTTTCTATAAAGACGCTCAATCCTTTTGCATCACTAGAGGTCTTTGGGGTACATTCTTGAGTAGGAGCCAGGAAGACGTCATGGAGATGTCCCTGTCTCAGGGACCACAGTAGACACTTTGAGTACAAATGTTTGGCTTGGGTTAAGGAAAAGCACTACCTGAAAGGATGACTCAGGGTGTTGTTTGCTGGCTGTATTTCCTTAGACGAGCTCTTGGGTCTCTGCTTCTCCAGATGTCAGGTGAGAGGATTAGATGAAGAAGCTTCTGGTATCCTTCCTCCTCTCACATGTCATCATCCTCTGAATAGGAAGGCATCCCAATCTCCTCCTTCCTTCCAATTCTGCCTCCTCTAGGTCAACCACTCTCTGAGGCACTGCCAAGTGAACCAGTGGTGCTCCTTGGTGAGGTGAATATCGCAAGCTCAGAAACAAATTCATTTTGGAGAGGGTTTTAAGAAATCAAGAGTCCTTGTTGTTATGTTCCATTGAGTTAACTATGATTCATAGCAACACTATAAACAATGAATGGCTGTGAACCTTGTCCTATCCTGAGCCAATCTCATGTCTCAGAAACACCTGACTCCATTGCCACAGTCACTGTGTCAATCCATCTCATCCAGTCTTCCTCTTCTGTGTTAACCCTTTTCCCTTCCAAGCATGATGTCCTTCTACAAGGACTGGTCCCTCCTGGCCACATACCCAAAGAAAGTATGTGAGAGAGAGTTTCAAAATCCTTGCCTCCAAGGAGCAGCCTGGCTTTACCTTCTCCAGGATAGATCTATTTGTTCTCTTGGCAGTCCATGGTATCTTCAATACTCTTCTCAATCACCACAAATCAAAGGTATTGATTTTTCTTCTGTCATCTTTACTCAGTGTACAGCTCTCAGATGTACAGCAAGCAATTGAGAATATCATGGCCTGGATATCTAAACTGACATCATTGCTCTTCAGTGCTCTGGAGATATCCTTGACAGCAGAATTTCCCATTGCAATTCGTATTTTGATTTTCTGATTGCTGTTATCAAGGGTGTTGGTTGTGGATCTAAGAAAGATGAAATCATTAACAACCTCAATTCTTTCTCCATCTATCGTGATACTGCCTATTGGCTCAATGGTGAGGATCTTTGTTTTCTCAATGTTGAGGCAATCCGTATTAAAGGCTGCAGTCGTTGACCTTCTGCAGCAAACACTTCAAGTCCTCCTCAGTTTCAGTGAGCAAAGTTGTGTCGTGTGCATCACACAAGTTGTTGATGAGTCCTCCTCCATTCCTGATGCTGGATCTTCTTCACATTCTGCAGAGTCCTTAGATGGTGAAAATAGTCAATGTGCTCAGCTACTAACTGAAAGGTTGGCAGTTTGCATCTGTTCAGAGGAACCTTAAAAGAAAGATCTGGCAATTTATTTCTGAAAAAAATCAGTATTTGAAAAGCTGAAGAATAGTTCTCTCCTAATGCAATGGCTTCTCCACAAATCAGAGTGAATTCTATGGCAACTAAACAAAAAGTGCATTCAGGGGTCTTGAGGCTTCTTCCTATTGCTACAGTCCTAAACAATCCAAACTCATGCACTGTATGATTAGAACCTGTTAGGATAGGAGGAGTCTAGGAATAGGGTAGAATTCCAACAAGAAAAAACAAGCAAAACAAAACTGTCCAGGAAGAGTCTGTCACCTTAAATTATGCATGAAAATATTTTAGGAGCTCTGGATTACATTACACTTGGATGAAAAAAATTCTTGGAGTAGAGGAAATATAACTGGAGACTCCCAATTCATGAGACTTTTCCATCTTCTGAATTTAATGTTTTTAAGAAGACAAGACCAAAATAGATGTCAGAAGAAACTCTGAATATTGCACTAGAGCATCAAGATGCCAAAGCAAAAGGAAGAAATCAAGAAATTAAGGAGTTGAATAGAAGATTTCAAAGGGCAGTTTGAGAAGACAAAATATTATAATGAAATGTTCCAGGAACCGGAGTTGAAAAATCAAAAGGGCTAAACTCTCTAGCATTTCTTAAGGTGAATGAACTGAAGAACAAATTCAAGTGAGCTGAAATGTTTAAGGATGCTATGGGCAGAATATATAATGATTCAGGAAGCATTAAAGAAGATGGAAGGAATATACAGAAACATAGTACCAAAAAGAATTGGTTGACACAGAAGAATTTCAAGTAACAACATATGATCAATTATGAAGAAGGGGAACAAGCAATATTATTCAAAATGGGTGACTCTGGAGGACATTAGGCTGAGTGATGTATCTCAGTCACAAAAGGACAAATACTGCATGGTGCCACTATTGTAAAACAGGACTGACCTCTGGGCTGGGGATAGACTAAGAAAGATGGGTTCAATTATATATACTGCATTGAAACAGATGAGGGAGAAAACTGTTTAAAAGGGATATGTGTTAAAAAGGGATTAGGTATTTTTGTCATGACAGGAGTCTAGTGAGAAGGCTACATGGTGGAGTGGACCTGGGGGAGGGTTTGTAAAACAACGAAAGAATTTTTCTTTTTCTTTTCCAAGAGGGTAGTGTACTACAGGGGAGAATTGGAGGGGAGAAAAGTGCAACAACGAATGAATGGAAATCTAAAGTCTCTGTAACTTTTTACTGAAATTAATAATAAATTTACATTTAAAAAAAAACAAAAAAAGTATCTTAAAAGTTAACTTAGTCACATCATAATTAAATATAAAGATTTGATTCCAAATAAGTAGGGTACTTATTAACATATCTTATTTCTTTCCTCAATCAAAAAACGAAAAAAAGAAGAAGGGGAAAGTTCAGGCTACTCTGAAAGAATTGGCAAAAAACAAGGTTCCTGACTGTGACTGCTAATGTTAAGAATGTTGATTGTGGAGCTGAGCAAGCTGTAATTGTTAACACTTCAATCTCTTCTCCATCTATCATGGTGCTGCCAGTTGGCACAGTGGTGAGAATCTTTCAATATGGATTGAAGCTCAACATCAAGAAGACTAAGATTTTCACCAGCAGTCAGGAAATCAAAAGATGAATTGCACTGGGAAAATCTGCTGTCAGGGAACTTTCCAGAGTGCTTAAAAGCAATTATGTCAATCTAGAGTCTAAGGTGTGCCTAATCCAGACCATGGTCTTCACAATTATTTGTTATGCTTCAGAGAGCTTGACAACAACTAAGGATGACAGAAGGAGAATCAATGCCTTCATCTTGTAGTGCTGGAGAAGAGTCTTGAATATACCATGCGCTGCCAAGAAAACAAATAAGTATGTTTTGGAGAGGGTGAAACCAAGTTTCTCCTTGGAGGCTAGGATTTTGAAGCTCCATCTCACATACTCTGGGCACGTGGCCAGGAGAGAGGACATTATGCTCGGAAGGGTGGAGGGAAAGTACAGGAGAGGAAGACCTTGGGTGAAATGGATCAATACATTGACTGGATCAATGGGTGTTGATGTGTCAGAATTAATGAGACTGGCTCAGGACAGGACAAGGTTCAGAGCTGCTCTACACAGGGTTACTATGGGTCACAGACAACTCAACGGTACACAACAACAACAACATTGTTGCTCTGTACCAATGAGTTGGAACTAACTCATAGTTGACCCTCCAGCTGGTTTTCAGAGGCAGTAAATCTCACTGGAGGAGATCGTCCATCTTTCTCCCATGGAGCATCTGGTGGACTTGAACCACATGCCTTTGGGTTGGTAGTATTCCAGTTTAAAGACTAAGATGTGCCTGATTCAGGCCATGGTCTTTTCAATCACTTGTTACGCATCTGAGAGGTAGACAATGAATAAGCATAACAGAAGAAAAATCAATGCCTTTGACTTGTGGCTTTGGAGAAGAGTACTGATTATCCCATGGACTACCAAAAGAACAAACAAATATGTCCTGGAGAAAGCTCAACCAGAGTGCTCCTTAGAGGCAAGGATGGCTAAGCTTCATCTCACATACTTTGGGCAGTTTGTTAGGAGGGGTGATTTTTTGATAAGGTGGAGGATCAGCAAAAGGAGAGGAAGATCCTTAATTAGACTGACACATTGACCACAGAAATGGACTCAAGTATGTCAGAGATAATGAGGATGGTGCAGGAAAGGACAGAGTTCAAATCCATTGTTCATAGGGATACTATGAGTTGTACTCAACGCAATGGCACCTAACAACAACAACAAGCCACCACCAAAACTCCATCTGAGTTGAATAAAATATTTTGCACCACAATCCAACACAAACATCCAGTCACATATAGTCAAAAATTTCATATAACAAGAAAACAAAAGTTGGCATAACAGTATTTGCATTTATCTTATGGAATACATTCTGATATTTTCATTTTTTTCAGTTCAGTTCAAAATGCTGATCATAACTCATTAACTGATTTAGTCCATGATTGTAAAAAAAAAAAAAGAAACAAACAAAAAAATAAACAAAAAAAACACAGATCAAGGACATCCTGCTTTCTGGAAACAAACTTAGAGACCAGTTCCTGAAATGTTGAATAGTAGTTCCTGAGTAGATTCCACGAATTTTTCATGACTGGCTGAATGAGGACTAAATTTCTTCTTCCTTTTATTTACATCTGTTTAGGTTCTAGGAGCTGCTGTTATGAACCAACCACTCTCCATACAAGTGATATTTGCAAACCCCCTCTCAGAGCAGGTTGAGGACTGTGTGCTGACTGTGGAAGGCAGTGGTCTCTTCAAAAAGCAGCAAAGAGTCATGTAAGCGCTGAGAGTACCCAGGTTTCTTTCCCATTTTTTCCAGAGATTCTCTCTCATTGCCATCAAGCCAGAGTCCACTCATAGCTGGTCCTCTATGGGTTTCTGAGTAAATGGAATGGAAAACGATTGCCCACCTATATACCTTTAAACCACTGGTGGATTTGAACCACCAAGGAGGTGTGGCCTTTGGGATAGAAAACCATGGAATTTCTAGGCCCCAAACAGAGTCCTATAGATCTGATGTGAGTACAATTAGAATCCAAATAGCTAAGTCCATAAAGAGTTCAATTCCCTATGGACTCTGCCACCAGAGATTATCATTGTCTTTTCCTTCTGCACAGGCTGTCTCTGAGACCCTCAGGGGGGTAAAATGAGGGAATGGAGTAGAATTTGGAGATTATCATAATGTCTATGTTTTTCTAACATTTTCCATTGTCTATTACAGCATTGGAATCCTCAAATCTCAACATCAGGTCAGCATCACTCTGGAGACTGTCCCCTTCAAGAGTGGTCAAAGGCAGATCCAAGCTAATCTGAGAAGCAACAAATTTAAGGACATCAAAGGTTACAAAAACGTCTATGTAGACTTTGGGTTGTGAGTTCTGGGACAATAGCTGGATATATTGCCTTCAAACTTCAAGCAAAAGAGCAAGTTAAAGTGTAAATTATTCCATTCCCCACCACAGAAGAGGCTTTTCAGGAGTTTGGAGGGATCAGAAAATGGGATGCCAGGATGGATAGCTCCCTTAGCTGTCTGCACTTCCCCACAGGACTCTGTTTGGGGCTCAGGAATTCTATGGTGTCTTAACCAAGTATGAGATGGCACAGAAGTCAGAGGACACTAGTTGCACTTGGCCATGACTTTGGCCCCAGCAGTCAAGGAAGCATGAAGACTTGTTGAGCAGATCACTGTCATTTGGTTGATGCCATGGCTAATTAATTCCTTAGTCCCAATAAACTTCAGTCCTTGCTCTGATCTCATTCACCCCACATAATTATCAGTTCTCTTTCAGTAGCTCTCAATTGTTCCCTGGAGGCTGTAAGTGTCCTATTATTTCACATGTCTGAGCCCATTTTCTCAGGAAATATTTGTGTGTGCCTACTAGTTCCTGGATTGTGCAAATGGTTAACAAATATTCAGTTGCTAATCAAACGCTTGATGCTTCAAATCACCCAGAGGCACCTTGGAAGGAAGTCCAGGCAACCTTCTTCCTAGAAATCAGCCATTATAAATCTTATGGAGTTCAGTTCCATTCTCACATACCTGAGGTTGCCGTGACTCAGAATCAACCTGATGGCAATGAGCTTGAGGTTTTGTTTTTGTTTTTATGCTTTAGTGTGTGCCTACTACATACTCCTGTGTGTAGGGAATAAAGCAGTAAAAAGAGCAAAGATGCTGCCTTCTTGGGACTTACATTATTGTAAGGTTGGGGGCAAGCAATAAACATGTCAATAAATAAGATGCACACAGATGGTGCAGTCACAATCCAGTTAGAAAACAGCAACCCCTGTAGGTGTTTCCATATACGACCTACTATCTTTGTGTATCAGAAAAAAACTTGGGCGATCTCTGGCCTTCCTTTTAATCTCTTTCCATGCCATATCCAAGAAGTCTATTGGTCCTAATAGTTCCAGGGTTTTTGCTGAAAGTCCACTAGTACACGGTGTTCCATAGTTGGGCTTTCTATGAATGGACTCCAGGGGATAAAATTTGATGAATAACATAGTGAATTAGAATTATTTAGAGAATGTAGTATATTCATATTTTTAAATTTGTTGCAGTTTGTGTTTAATTAAAATTCAAACTATGTCTTTTCTGAGTTTCACTGGAACAGGAAACAACTCCAATCATTATGTCCTCTCTGCATTCTTCTACACACAGATCTGTGCAGAGAAGGGGGATGCACCTGCCTTCTGGTGTTGGCTACATGACCAAGACAGCTGTTTAGGGCATGTATTAAATTCACATATGATAATTAAATAAAGAAGTTAAATTCTTCCACTACGTATAAAGGAAAGGACAAATGTTGTTAATTAGAAGGAAAGAAGAGGGTGTGGTGGGAATTACATAGCAGGTTGACAGTCCTGTTAGACAGTAGTTTGAGAATCTGGCAGAAGAGAACTGGAAACAACGTGCAGTCGTTCCGGCCTGTAATTATTGACTGTCAATCATAAAAAATGGTTTAAGGAAAAATCTGTGGAGATGAACATCTTACAGAGATAATAACTTCTGGAGTATTTGAAAGAGTTTAGACACCACACCCTCTAACTCTTTCATGAATCCTAATTTTAAAACCACATTTATTAACTCACTTGAAAAATATTTACAGAGTCTCTACTAGGGCCAGGAGCTGGCCTGAGCATTAAGAACACAAAAAAGGATCAGTGCTTGCCCTCAGGGAGCTTATGTCTGAATGTGTGAATGCTGAAAAGTGAGAGGTTGTAATTTAGAGTGCTAAGACCCACCATTGGGATGAGTCCAAAGTGTCAGGGGAGCAAAAGGAAGGGCAGTTATCCTAGGCTTGTGGTCAGAGATCAAGGAAAGCTTTTCAAAAGAAATGCCATTTAAGGGAGCTCTGGTGGCCTAGTGGCAAGAAGCTGCACTACAATCCCAGAGATGAGTGCTTCAAATCCACTAGATGCTCTGCTGGAGAAGGAGGGACAATTTCCTCCTGTACCAGTCAGATCTGATTTGACGGCATACGCATAAAAAAGAAAAGAAAAGAAAAGAAATGCCATTTAGGCTGAAGGCAAAAAGACAAAGATTTCAGATTGGAAGAGGAACACATATGTGAAACAATCCCAACCCAACCAACTACTGTCTTCAAGTCAATTCCTGTTCATGGCCAACCTCTACCAGGTTCCCAAGGCCAAGGTCTTTAGAGAGGGACATCATGCTGGGTAGAGTAGAGGGACAGTGCAGGAGGGGAAGACCCTCTATGAGGTGGATTGATTCAGTGACTGGGTTACTCGGGATGGGTTTGTCAGAGGCAATGAGATTGGCACAGGATAGAGCAGGGTTTAGGGCTGTTGTACATAGGGTCACTATGAGTCGCAAACGACACGACGGCACATAACAACAACAACAACACATCTTTATGAAAGGGTATGATGGATTCAAACCACAGATCTTTTGGTTGGCAGCCTAACTGGTAACGTGCTACACCACCGTGGCTTAGTGAAGGATGAAGTAATGAGGAACTGCAAGTCACTTCACTGGTGAGGAAATAGAGTGAGTGGGAGACAGCAGCAGAAGAAATGAGGTTAGACCAGGTGGTGAAGAGCCCCAGAGGTGGTGTGAGGAACTTGGATCACATTCATCTTCAGGTATCTATCTCCTGTAAGGATTGGCTCACACTGGCAACCTATAATCACGGTGAACAGAGTTAATTCTATTTTTAGATATAGAGGAACTTTCTTGTGGTTCTGGAGATATGTAAAAGTCTATGGTACCCTCCTTTACCATTCAAATATTCTAAGTCTTAGTGACCCTGTGGGACAGAGTAAAAATTTCCTCAGAAGGTTCTCAAAGTTGTAAATCTTTAGGGAAGCAGACCACATGTCTTTCTCCTGCACTGACGCCAGTAGGTTCAAAATATAGACCTTTTGTTTAGCAACTGTATGCTTTAACCACTGCACTACCTGGGCTCCTTTGGCGCACGGTGAAACCCCCTTCTGCCAGGTCCGTTCTGACTCATAGTGACCATCTATCAGGTTTCTGAGGTTGTAAGTGTTTATAACTGGAGGGAACAACTTGAACAGCACCTAGTAACAACAAGTGTTCACAGGAAAAGACTGCCCATCTTCCTCCCTTTGCAGCTGGTGAATCCAAACCATTAACCTTTGGGTTAGCAACACAACACATAGTGCATCATACCACCAAAGCTCTTATGCACAGGGCACAATATCACAGATGAATGAAAATATGAGTCTTCTTGAGCACACATCAGCTGAAGCCTTGTTTAGCTGCCAGAACCTGGGGAGGTGCATGTGCAGTAGTAAACAGGACAAAACTGTCTAGTCATCCTTCCTTCTTCCATCTCCCAGTTATCTCTTGTTCAGCTTAACCAAAAAGTAGCAATAGCTGTCTCATCATACTGCTCTCACCATAAGTACCTCAACTGAAATGGTACCAGATTGGATAATAGTGATGCTTTCATATAAACTATATCAGAAAATGAAACAAGCCCAAATGAGGATCTAGCCTATGACACCCAAGCTGTTCCTATAATTGGGGTCTCCTAATGGGGAAGGTACTTCTTTCAGCCACCCTTTTCTTTTTGCCTCCTATTTATGCATAAATTTCCCTATCTCAAAGCCGTAACATTCCAAAAATAGTCTACACAAATATAAGCTAATTTATACATATTTTCCCTACTCTTTGAAAATTTTTTGTTAGTGAGATATTAATTTAGTGTTATTTACACCAGTTATTATTGCTTGCATTGTTATTGTTATGTACTGTTGAGTCAGAACCAACCCACAGCTAATCTTTCAGCAGATTTTCAGAGGGAATAAATTGCACAGGAGAGATTGCTCATCTTCCTCATGTGGAGCATCTGGTGGATTTGAACTGCAGACTTTTGGGTTGGCAATGCAATTCCTTACCACTAATCTATATGCATCAACCAGGTGGATTGACACAGTGACTACAGCAATGGATTCAAGTACATCAGAGATCGGGAGGGTGGCTCAGGAAAGGACAAGGTTCGTATTTGTTGTTTTTAGGGTAGCTGTAAGTCATACTTGACTGAACAGCACCAAGAAACAATAACAAGCCATCAAAATTTATTACTTACACACAACTATAAGGATAGGACAGAATTCAGAGCCATTGTTCACAGCGTCACTATGAGTTGTGCTTGACACAACAGCACCTACTAAGAAATTATTGCTTATCATTTTGCTCAGATAGTTAATTTAGAACTGTTTATACATAGTTTTTATTACACTATGCAAATAATTTTACAGTTGAGTAGCCTACAATACACCATAGGTAGATTTATTTTCCTGAACAATCTGTTTCATTCTCCTATTGAATCAGTATAGTATGGATTATAACAAATTATCACCAACATTGAGAGAAAAGGGAATCCCATAACACCTAATATGCTTATGTGAAATCTATACCTAGACCAAGAGGTTGTTGTCCAAACAGAGTAAGGGAGCACTGCATGACTTAAAATTAAGAATGATGTATATTATAGGTATTATGATTATCATAAGAGTCTGGAATGAAGGTTGCAGAGTGGAGTATACTGGGGTGGGGGGCAGGGTTGGGGGTGGGTACAGGGGGATTGTATACCAATGAAGGAATTTTTCTTTTCAAAGAGAAAAGCGAACTGGAGGTGGGGGGGGTTGTGTGGAGAAAAGTGCAACAATGAATAAATGGAAATCCAAAATCTCTGTAAATGTTCATTAAAATTAATAAAAAAATTAAGCAAGATGTGTGTGAGAGTTGTATCCTTTCTCTATACATATTTGATCTGTGTGCTGAGGAAATCATTTGAGAAGTTGGACTTTATGAAGGAGAATGTGGTATCAGGGTTGAAGGAAGATTCATCAACCTGCATTAGGCAGGTGCCACAAACTTGCTAAA